TGTGGGGCTTTGTACTCTAACCAACGAGAGGGCATACGGTTAATGAGGTAGGTAGAACAAAGAACAGCCTCAAGCCAAAAACGTTTGGGGACATTCATATGGAGTGGTAAACCCCGAACCACTTCAAGGAGATGTCAGTTCTTTCGTTCAGTCACACTATTTTGTTGTGGTGTTCGGGCACAAGAGCTACGGTGAAGTGAACCACGCGAAGCAAAGAACTCCGTGAGATCACTATGAAAAAACTCTTTCGCATTGTTTGACTGAAAAATTTGGATTTCAGTTTGAAATTGAGTGAAGACCATCTGGTGAAAGTCTTGGATAATTTTTGGTACTTCCTTCCTGGTTCGCATAGAATATACCCAAGTATATCTAGAATAATCATCAATGAGGGTAATAAAATACTTGTAACCACTCTCAGATGGTAAAGTAACAGGGCCCCATACATCAGAATGAACAATGTGAAAGGGAAATTCAGATTTACTATTTTTTTGAAGAAAATGAGTTCTACAATGTTTACTTAACTGACACGTTTGACAAAAGAAATCTGAAACGGACATTGACTTAAACAGTTCTGGAAACACAACTTTTAAAGACTCAAAAGATAAATGACCAAGGCGACAATGCCATAAATAAACTTGACTCTTACAGGACTGACTCATAGACTCTGTAACATGAAGACCAACCTTATTCTCCAGCATGTAAAGTCCATCAACCATACGTCCCCTACCAATCGTCCTCCCCGAKGCCAGATCCTGAATCACACAATGAGAAGGGAAAAAGGTCACTGAGCAGTTTAAGGAATTAGTAACACTACTAACAGAGAACAAATTAATGGGAAATTTTGGAACATGTAGGACATCAGAGAGGGTAAGGCCAAGGGGAAGAGAGATGATTCCTTGACCAGCTATGGAAGTGTATGATCCATCAGCTAGTCTCACCTTGTCTCTTCCAGAAAGAAGGTGATAGGTTTGAAAGTAAGAGGACGTACCAGTCATGTGTTTTGACGCTCTAGAATCAATGATCCATGGAGAGTCAAGGGTGTGAGAAGCAACATGTAAAGCTGTGGCAAAGTTACCTGACGTAGATGCAAATGAGGTTGAGGGAGAAGCATCCATCTGACGAATTGCTCTACCATAGAGCTCTAAATGGTCATGAAAGTAATTCATAATATCCTCCCTTGGGTCAGATCCAGAGAGATGTGTCTGAGTCACAGTATGGATGGAGGGCTGATTCTCCCGAGTAGCCATGTTGGCCATAGTGTATTTCTTTGTACCTTGCTGTCTTGACCTTTTATTCACATCTGAACCTCGCTGCTTATTCAGATCTTGAGCCCATTTTGGTTTCCCATGAAGATCCCAGCATGTATCTTTGTGGTGTCGGGGTTTCTAGCAATGAATACACCACAATTTGTCTTTATCCTCTGTTTTTTTTTGGAGATCTCCTTTCTTGGAAGAATTTTCCACACTAGTAGAGACACCCCCTTTTGCTGCCAACACAACTGCATCTCCACCAGAGTTGTTCATCAAATTCCTTCTGCTCTCTTCAGATTGTACAAGAGCATAAACTTCCTGAACTGATGGAAGATCCTTAGAACTGAGAATCTGGACTCTGATAGATTCATACATAGGGTTCAAACCATGTAAGAAGGCAAACACTCTCTGCTGGGAGATAAGTTTCTTGTACAGTTTTGCATTCTCGTCACACTTCCATTCCACATTTTGGTAATGGTCCAACTCCTTCCAAACAGAAGTCAAGTCAGAGTAATATACCGATAAACACCTCTCCCCCTATCTACAAGTAGACGATTCTGCCTGCAGTTGATAGATCTTGGCATAGTGTCGCAGTTCTGAATATGTAGATTTTGCTTGTTCCCAGATCTCATATGTTGTTTCAGCCCACATGAAATTCTTCCTTATTTGAGGTTGCATGGAGACTAAGAGCCAAGACATAACCATGCTGTTCTCCTGATTCCATCTATTATATTCAGCACTCCCAGAGTGTGGTTCTTTAATTCTCCCATTAATATAACCTATCTTCCCCCTTGCAGTGTTGTACAACTTGATCCCTCTTGACCACTCTAGGTAATTTAAACCATCAAGAGGGACAACAGCAATGGGAAAGGATAGGTCACCACCCCCACTCATTCCATTCAGCATTGAGGAAACTCCAGATGTGGCAGAATCTTCACCACTCATGATTTCAGATTTAAAAACAACACCCAAAGGAGGGGCACTGCCTAAAAAAAAAAAGACTGCTGTTGCAGCACACAAACAGGTCCTTATGACCTATGGTTTCACAGGGATCCAAAAACAAACACTGCTGATGCAGCACATAAACAGGTCCTTATGACCTACGGTTTTACAGGGATCCAAAAACAAAACACTGCTGTTGCAGTACATAAACAGGTCCTTATGACCTATGGTTTTACAGGGATACGACCCCACAACAGAATGGAAGGAGAAAGGTGAAGTTCAC